ACTTTTTGTGCAGGCGCCTCATGGGGCTGCAAGCCGGTGGGCAGTCTGTATCGCTCGCATCCATGCCAGACAGGACAGGGCCCTAATCCCCCTAGTCTACCCCCGGGCAACTGTAGGGTTAGAGCAAGGCATGAGCTTTGGATGCTTTTTGGAGGAGTGCCGCGAGCACTTTGTGGGATGCGACGGCGAGCACAAGGCGACCATCCGAGTGTCACAGTGGATCGTCCCATGGTGACTCAAAGTGATGCTTGAAGGCATGGCCCGATGACAAATGGCAGTGGGACTTTGTTCTACATCCCTGTAACACAGGTGGGGCCTGAGAGTTCCATGAAGTACCCGAGCTGCCATTGCCAGGGTGCCATGATGTACCAGGTTTCATGGAAAGCCTTCTATTGGGAGTGACCGACTTCTTGCCCAGTGTGGGGCTCGCATGTTTTGATTGCGGAAGCGCGGGCATGTCGGCAGGCGGGTCGGCTCCCATGCTTCAGCACTCCTCAAGGCCCTGGTTGCGGTAGCTGTGAGCCAAGCGGATTGAGAAGCTCGGGCTGCACCTGTCTTCAGGTTCTGAGTAGTTCTGCGACGCCACAGGCATGGCACAGGTGACTTATCATACATGCTGGCATTTCATTTTGCCCAGCCTTGTCTGCGCCAAGTCCAGCAAGTTTGCATGCATCCCAAGGAGAGAACTGCAAGGCATTGATGATTCATAGACTCATAGGCATCTGGAATCGAACCCGTCAGTTTGACCTCGGGAATGTGCAGCGTTCTCCGTAGTGCAAACTTGAATACCTGCTGATGGATCTATTTTCCTTTGAATTGAACACTTTGAACATTCAGCAGGCCGTTCTTGCATGTGTTTGGGAGGAAGTTGTTCAGTCAGCCTTTGAACTCGATTATGTATGCTGCGATGTCACCTCAATCTGTGCTGGTGAAAGAAGTTGACATCGCATCTGATTCAAGGGTTTCCTGATCAGTGGCTCCTGACCGGATTGTACACTTTGTAAATATGCCTGTCGGCCCCGCGGCGGCCGCGATATCACTTGGCTTCCAGATGACATGCTGCTGGCATTTCCATGTGGTGAAGCAGACGCACGAAGTGGCAGGATAGGCCTCTTTTGCAGAGCTGCATCACCTGCAAATTTTGTCAGCCTTGCTTTTTGAAAGATGGCAAGGTTGTTTCGCTTCTGTCTCATTGCATGCCGCACACTCGCTCTGGCACAAGTGCCATCATAGTGGACGCCTGGGCCGCAGTTGCAGGCATCAGGCTCCACTGGCCCGCGACGCATCTTCCGTGTCGACCTGCGAGCGCGCAAAAAGCTACGAGCGATGCTAAGCTGCTAAGCTGCCGCACAAGCGAGTTCTACAGTCTGCCCACACCACTTTGCAGACATGATCTGTGATTTCTGATGTGCTGCAATTGGCTGTTTGCAGAGCACCGCGCCGTGTCAGCGTAGCCCTCAGAGTTGTGGAACGCCTGGGGAGAAGCGATGCTCGTTTCCGTTCGTCGTGGCCTGGTGACGAAGGCTAGGCTTGACGCTTCACGCACTTGTGTCTGCCGTGAAGTCGTGACCTGGAGCTGCGCCAAAGCCTCTGAACCAGGCAGCTTCCCTCAACAGCACGGCTGCTCGTCATGCCCCAGCTGTCTTCCAACATCGATATCTGCATCAAAGTATCCCGCGTCACAACACGGTGCCTCGTTGGAAATACGGCTCGCACATGTAGGTTGCAGATGCAGAGCTTGTTTTCAAACCTGCCACCTCAGGCAGTCAATCCCGGCTGGCCAGTCACTTGGCCAGATCTCGCTAGGCGAGGCCGAAATCTTGCTCCAGCTTCTCTTTGTGCTACACCGACAGCGATCCAGACACACAGGGAGATAGGAGATACTATCGAAGGATTCGATTGTGGCTAGTTACAGTCACTTGAAACAGTTTCTCTTCGTTCTTCGGGGGCTGACAGTCTCCCTGACACTCCGTATGCTATGGGTGTGGGAGACCCGCATTGTAGATCGCAGTCTTCCTTGAGTATGCCTTGAAATTGAGCTCCTTGGCGGGGGGTGAGCGCTCGCACTTCCCACCAATGTTATGCCGTTGTGCGAAGCGCGGCCAACCGGGGAGTAACTTCCACGGACATCCAACAAAAGGCGTCCCCCCATACAGAAAGGCGTGCCCCCACACAAGTCGGTTCCTCTCCCAAATGACCTGTAGGAAGAATGAAAGAAAGACTGTCAGAGCGAGAGGAAGGGCTTGTCACGAATGTTGATAATGCGGGCAGGATAATCACGAGGCAGTGGTTGCCATGTGCAGCCGTCGCTCTCCCGCTTTCTCTCTCTCTCTCTCTCTCTCTCTCTCTCTCGCTCTCTCGCTCTCTCTCTCTCTCTCTCTCTGTTTCTCTCTCTTTTTCTCGAGAGCATGCATATCTGCACGTGGGCATCACACGCACATACACGCATACATGCATGCACACATACCCGCGCGCACACACAAGTACATACATACCTGCCTGCATACCTACATACTTACATACCTGCATACCTACACATGTACACCTACATACCTACATACCTATACCTGCATCCCTACATCCTTACACGTACCTACATACATACATACATACAAACAAACGTACATGCATACCATGCCATGCCATGCCATGCCTCGTTAATTCATTCATTTATTCATTGATTCATTCATTCATTCATGCATGCATGCATTCATTCATTCATCATTCACACGTACACACATACGTCTACATGTATGTGTGCATTTTTCTTGTACGCACGCACACGCGCACACGCTTATTCCTGCAATTATGTAACTTGTATCATATTTGTGGCAGGCATCATGCTAGCAAGAGTACAGAAGGGCATGCGCACACACATCTTCATGTTTGTTTGCATGCATTTGCACGTTTTATTTCTGCTGCTTGGAACCACATGTCCTGCGTACAAAGACAAGTAAGCCCAATGTGTGCCACAAGTCTTCGATGTGTAGGCGCAGTCAACTGAACCACAGCAAATGAGATGGATATGGTCTCAGCCGGATTCTCTTGAATCGTGTGTCGCATAAGTAATTAGGAAGGATATATGTATATATATATATATATATATACACATGTATTTGTAATATGCTGCACGAAGAGGCAGGGAGGACGTGGGTACTGTAGGTAGGCAGGTAGGCAGGTAGGCAGGCAGGCAGGTAGGGAGGTATGCAGGTAGGTAGATGGACAGGTGTGCATGCCAATGCTTACCTACAACTTACTAGTTTGGATGTTTGTAGAGCTACTGTGACATGATCATGCATTTAGGTTGCTTGGCTCGCGGCTTTTGCAAATTGCTGCTTGAGGTAATGTGGACGAACATTTACGACAAGCCCGGCTGGGACACAGATTTGGAACTCGAGTATGACGTGATGCCACGTGATGAGTTCGGTGTTCCTGCACATATCCCACCGGAGATTTCTACGACCATCCGCCATACGCACTTTGGACCTGCATGCTCATACATGTTGCAGGCTTTCGATCATGGATGCTCGAGCATTCTGTAGGGTTCCAGTCGCCGAGGTATTACATCCCACCTCAGTACTACCCTTTCCTGAAGAAGCTGGGCGACGATACCCCGGAGCTGAAGCGACGTGCTTGCGATTTGCACGACCTTCGCCTCTGAACCTAAGATCAAAACGTAAGGATGCAGCCTCAGCTGCGAATCCGAGGCCGTGGATGGACAAGCTCATCAATGGCGAGATGACCTTTGACGATTACGAGGAGATGTTCTACCAGTTTGCCAAGCCTCTCAAGCCTTTTGATTGCACCTGGCAGACAGGGGCAGCGTTCGCGTTGGGCTTGCGTCATGCGCTGCGGCTTGTTGCGCTCAGGATCCACCGGCCGCTGATTCCGATGCCATACCGAACTGCGGAGGAGATGAAGAAGAGCGAAGAGGTAGCCTGGGAGGGAGCCTGGCTGTCCTTCAGCTCCTTGCCGGCATTTCGTTGAGGCCTTGCATCGAAACCCAAGCAACAAAGCTTGGTCTGTGCGCTGGCATGGAATTAAGGACAGCGGGTCATCGGAGACTATCTTGCGAGGCCGACGGCACTTGCAGCAAAGTAATCGTGCCCCCTGTTGATGTGTGTCATGCTGTGTTGCTGCAGTTCGCCCGTCTCGAAGCTAGGAGACATCATGGATGCCCCCGGTCCAAGTGGACGGCTTTGCCATCCGTGCACACGCTGCGCAGGCACTACCTGCGCGACTTCCTCGGTGGTATGGGCGTTGGTTTGTTTTTTGCCTGGGCCGACTCCTTAGCATGTTGTCGGCCTTTGTGCTGTGCATGATGCTTAGAGTCTAGGGCTCGTCGAGTTCCCGATGTCAGGTCTACATCCAAGCTCATCGCCAGTACCGCATCGACATGAAGCTGTTCTACCTGGAGGCGGTTTTAGACCATTTGGAGCAGATCAGAGCTGACAAGCCCTTTTAAGCGGAGCTAGTGGGAATCTCTTGTGTCCGCTGTGGCGTGAACAGGCTCCTGAGCACAAGATCAACTGGGTAGTTCCTCGCGGAGACCTGTAAGATGATGCACCATGAGAGAGCACATCTCGATGCCGTAGCTGATTATCTTTTCCGAGTGATTCAACGAATGTGGCAGAGCGTGTGGCATTCCTGCTTGGGCTTATGCGGCTTTGGTGAGGAAGGCATCATAACACAGTATTCAGTCAAAGAGGCAGCGCCACACCCCACGGAGATGAAGTAGAGGAGCCATGTGCTGTGTGCGAAAAAGAGGCGAGAGACCTGAGTTCCCCTCGAGAGGCAGTAGTAGACTGATAGACTGTGCCTCCATGGCAACAGTTGCATGGGCCCAGGTTGGGTGCTCGGGGCTTTGCCGGGATTGTCGGAGCCTCAGACAGAATGGAAACATTAGAGAAGCGAGTCAGCTAGCTTCCAGAATGTTTCGCTGCAAATCTGGCCCAGGAGAGCTTAGGAAAGCCTTGTGCTCTTCAGGGCTCTCGACTGCCATGGCGATGATTACAGGCTGCACTCGGCGCCTTACGGCGAAGGTGAAGTCCGTGAAGGTGTGCCAGGTTTCGGGACTCTTTGCGGGTTGCAGCGCTAGTTTTCGGGAAATCCCTTGAAGGCACTTCCCTCCGGCCTTTGTGCATCCCGCTGCCTGTCGCCGTTGGGCCCTATGATGCTGCAGCAGCGACAGCTGCACCAGAGCACGCCTCGTTTCAACACTGCCCCTGGGCAGCACAGGCACGTCACGAAGTGAGCAAACTTGAACTCGTGGACGTGGCTTGAGGCAGTCAACCCGGGCTGGCCAGCAGCATGGCGGCTACAAGGGCCTTCGAAAGGCCTCCCATGAGCTTGTTTGCGAATTGGCTGCCTGAGGTAATGTGGACGAACATTTACGACAAGCCCGGCTGGGACACAGATTTGGAACTCGAGTATGACGTGATGCCACGTGATGAGTTCGGTGTTCCTGCACATATCCCACCGGAGATTTCTACGACCATCCGCCATACGCACTTTGGACCTGCATGCTCATACATGTTGCAGGCTTTCGATCATGGATGCTCGAGCATTCTGCAGGGTTCCAGTCGCCGAGGTATTACATCCCACCTCAGTACTACCCTTTCCTGAAGAAGCTGGGCGACGATACGCCGGAGCTGAAGCGACGCGCTTGCGATTTGCACGACCTTCGCCTCTGAACCTAAGATCAAAACGTAAGGATGCAGCCTCAGCTGCAAATCCGAGGCCGTGGATGGACAAGCTCATCAATGGCGAGATGACCTTTGACGATTACGAGGAGATGTTCTACCAGTTTGCCAAGCCTCTCAAGCCTTTTGATTGCACCTGGCAGACAGGGGCCGCGTTCGCGTTGGGCTTGCGTCATGCGCTGCGGCTTGTTGCGCTCAGGATCCACCGGCCGCTGATTCCGATGCCATACCGAACTGCGGAGGAGATGAAGAAGAGCGAAGAGGTAGCCTGGGAGGGAGCCTGGCTGTCCTTCAGCTCCTTGCCGGCATTTCGTTGAGGCCTTGCATCGAAACCCAAGCAACAAAGCTTGGTCTGTGCACTGGCATGGAATTAAGGACAGCGGGTCATCGGAGACTATCTTGCGAGGCCGACGGCACTTGCAGCAAAGTAATCGTGCCCCCTGTTGATGTGTGTCATGCTGTGTTGCTGCAGTTCGCCCGTCTCGAAGCTAGGAGACATCATGGATGTCCCCGGTCCAAGTGGACGGCTTTGCCATCCGTGCACACGCTGCGCAGGCACTACCTGCGCGACTTCCTCGGTGGTATGGGCGTTGGTTTGTTTTTTGCCTGGGCCGACTCCTTAGCATGTTGTCGGCCTTTGTGCTGTGCATGATGCTTAGAGTCTAGGGCTCGTCGAGTTCCCGATGTCAGGTCTACATCCAAGCTCATCGTCAGTACCGCATCGACATGAAGCTGTTCTACCTGGAGGCCCCGACAACTTTGCATGTGCAACATCTTCAGTTTCCGACCTGTGTCGGCAGGCCCCTGAGCACAAGATCAACTGGGTGGTTCCACGCGGAGATCTCTGAGACCTTGAGAGCGGGACTAGTGACTACTAGAGTCTTGTGTTTTTGATTTGTTGGGTTTGGCGCAGGCAGATGTGTTTGTGTGTGTGTGTGTCCAGGAGTCATTGGGTTTTGGACAAACAGGCAGAAATCAAGTTATCCTTTTCCGTGAAAAAAGATAATAGGCTAGAGATGCCTGCGTCCATGTAAGCGCGTCGAATCCTTGTTGGGCTTTGGACTTTGGGTAGAGATGTATGGATCGTTTGGGCCAGTCAGGACTGTTTTGCTTTGCCCCTGTACGATTGGAAAGTGTCGCTGTTCTAGAAAAGGCCTTCTGCACCTGCGCTTACTGCACCATGTTGACAGCATGGAAAAGCCTCTTTCCTTGAATTGCACACTTGCTGCAAGCAGCCTCCATGAAACCAGTAAAGTCATTGAAGTTCAGGTGGCAGCCTGAAGTCCCACCTGACGAGTCGCAGGCATCGCAGGCAGGAGCTGAATCGGGCCTGACGGTATGTGAAGGCTTTGTCGTCGCGAAGTCGAAAGCCTCGAGGTGGGCGGACAGGCGGTCCCGAGCTTCAATGGGCGAGGGCTGCGCGCGGAGGACCGCAGCACCCACCGCACCCACCCCCTGGTGCCCCATCTCTCGCCTGTGCACAAGGCGCCCCTTGCCATGTGGCCCACAGCGGCTGGCGTGGGCATTGCTGGCTTGAGTTCGGTGTCATGCATGTGAGTTCACCAGATCCAGTGGTGATAAAGACCCGGACAGTGTGCCGACGTACCAGGCATGCTGGTGATGATGCTGCTGGGCGCCCTGCTGATTGGCTACTGTGTGCAGGCACGCCTTTCAGCAGAACGTGCTTTCAATGTGAAGTTGTCTGTGAAGTTGTGCATTCCTGCTGCATGCTTCCACACATGATGACAGGTTGGGCGGCGAAAGCAGGAAGAAGTTGCCAGAATCAGAAAGCCGGAGGCGACTCAGGAGCCTTTACGGAATGCCAATTCTACATAGGACATAGGCACCAGCACATGTATGAGCTCACATAACTTCCACACTGCTCGTGCTGGGTGGTGCTCTGTCTTCTAGGAGACCAGTCCGAAGCCAAGTGCTCCGGGCTCCGTGCTTTCGTCGCAAGTGAAGAGTCAGAGTGTGGAAATGTCTTTTTTGAGGTCTTTCCGAGAAGGTCGAGAAGCAGGCCATGGGCCACGCGGGGGGAGCCGGTGATCCGTTCGGTTTGTGACTTGTGGGTTTGTGGATCCAGTGTTGAGCGCAGGCCGAGATCGGGCAAGTGCTCGATGCGCTCTCCAGGCTCGCAGCTTCGCGAGCCTTCACGTCAACAGAATCTACAGAGACAACCACACACAAACACGCACCCACACACATGCACACATACACGCTCAATGACCCCAGCTGACCTTGCAGGCCGTCCTCTCGAGGCTCACGAGTGGGAGCAAGCCCTGTCTCGCTTGAATTCCCTTTCCTCCTGGCGAACCTACACACACCCGCTGTGTCTGCCAGACGGCTTGGTCACCGACACGGCCGTGCACAGCACCTGAGCGCAGGACCGGAACGCTCCAACGCTTATGGCATCCGGGTAGCCAGCCGTTTGTTATAACCGTTTTGATTCGTGCCGTCTTGGCCCAAGCAGAGAACCATAGGCAGGCTGCCACTGTGCTCCGTTCGGGTGCACATAGTGGCAGGAAGCCATGAAGTCCGGTGAGAGACCGTCAGATGGCCTCACGGGCTTACTGCCGACCCTTATTGCCAGGGACTCGAGGTTCCCTTCAGACTCAGAGAGGAACTCAGAGCTCAGCTGAGGTTGTTGGCTCTTGGCTCTCAGGGCCAGTGCTCCTTCTTCTCTGGACTTTCGTGTTCTTGGCCAGGCCGGTCTCGGGGTTGCCTGTTGAAGCGTGCTCCGGCGGGACTTCTGAGGATGAACTTCATGGGCCTCCTGGTAGTTCCCTCCTACTTGGTGTGGCTCGACTCAAAAAAGGGCTTCTGGTCTGGCAGTCGCTTACCAGAGTCGCCTCCACTGTGAGGATGTACAAACTGCCGCGCTGGCAGCTGCGAGCAGGCATTGGATATGGTTCTGGAAAATGAGGGAAGAGAGAGAACGGAGCCTTACCCTCAATCGGAACCCTGGGCAATTTCACGGAGGCTTTTGGCTTGCGATGACTTTGGTGGGTGCGGCTTCAGGCCACTCCACTCGATGCAGGTTGTGTGCCATGGCTCTGCTCCTTCGAGTCGTGCCCGTGGAGGTCCTTTAGGCCTGTCCTTCTGCTTAACTGTCTTCATCTTTGCGGCGCCGGTGATCTTCGACCTGCGACTGAGTGCCTGGCCCGGGAGACTTGGCGGGAGCTATTTCTGAAGCTTCTACACTTCTCGGACACTTTGTGCAATTTGCGGAGAGGCCTGAAGCGCGTTGCCTTAGGTTCCTTGCCTGGATGGAAGGCCAGGGCTTCAAAAGGTTCCTGGCGAGGTGCGAGCTGCGAGGATGCCTTGACGACGTGAAGCCAGCTGCGGCCCGAGCCTGTTTGTTTTCTGCAAGTTCATTTATAGCGTTCAACTGTTTCGTAATTCTCCAAGAAGTCCCAGGAGAAGACCCTTTTTGCATTCCATCCGCATGGAGCAGTCTGCTTTGGCTTCACAGTCAACGGAATTTTTGATTCAAAGTTTGTGAGCAAGTCTGCGCCACGATGGCATTTCGACACATGTGCGAGATGTCGACATACGAGGTAGCACGCACCCCGCACTTGTGCCCTTTTGTGTGTCGAGGCGAAGATAGCTTTTTTGATTGATGATTTCCTGCGCAACGGCAATCCTATCTTTCGATTGCTTTGCGACACGTGCCCTGTTCGGATGGAGAATGCCATTGAGATTGAGTGTGTTTGCCAGCGTCTTTTGCACACGTCGAGCTTGACTCGGCTGTTGTCGCTGGAGACTGCAGCCGTGTGTGACGAACGTGTGAGAGGTACTCAACAAGATCTTGGGAGGCAGGTCTTGCATTCTTTCCGGCAGCTCAGGGTTAGACAATGGAGGGGTGATTTTTTTTATTTTTTGTTTTGTTTGGTGGTGGTCTGCTTGGAGCCTGTCACAGCAGGTGACGAATTGCAGGGCGACAGGCAGGAAGAGGGTGCTATATATTGTATTATATTATATTAAATTACGTTATATTATATTATATGATATGATATTATATTATATTATACTATATTAATTTTATATTATATTATGTTATATTGTTGTTTGATATTATATTATTTTATAGTATATGCTATCATAGTATATCATATTAATTTATATTACGTTACATATTGCTATGTTGTACTATATTATACTATTATCTTATATTATATTATGCTATAGTATGTTATTTTATGTTATGTTATATCTGCTGTTTGATATTATATTATTTTATAGTATATGATATCATAGTATATCATATTAATATATATTACGTTACATCTTGCTATGTCGTACTATATTATACTATATTATACTATATTATCTTTTTTTTGCGTTATATATTGCTATATTATATTAGATTACTTTAAATTGTATTATATTATATTACATTTCATGATATTATATTATATGTTTATACTTTTATATAATATATTCTGTTATATTACATTATAAAGATTTTCTTTTACAGTTTTTATGTTTATAACATGTTACGCTATATACTGCTATATGTTATACTATAGTTATACTATCTTACATTATATAATGCTACGTTATATATTGCTATATCACTTTTATAGCTTCTTATATTATGTTATATTCACCTATATTGTACTATATCATTTTATACTGTAATATGTTACATCATGTTATATGATATCACATCATTTTACATCATATGATATAATACAACGTAATATGATACAATATAATATTTTTGTATAATATTTTATATTATTTTTAGGTTTTATTATGTTATGTTATATTATATGAGATAATATAATATTATATTATAAAAAATTCTCCTATACTATATTATACATATATTATTTTATATTATGCCCTGCATGCTTGCATCATGCTTTAACGACGACCAACGTCCATTTTGGCTCAAAGTGGACAAAATTTTACAGACTAGTCTCCTCTTGAGTGTGCTCCGACAGACATGGCAGCCCCGGATGCAGCCGAAGATACTGAGGAGCAGCCGTGGGTTGAGCGAGTACACGCAGCCGAGGAGCAGTGGGTGTCTTTGCTTAGCCTGGACGCAGACATACTCGTCGAGGCCTTGTCGAATCTGCCGGTTGATTTGCAAGGCCGCCTGGAGCAAGTAGTCGACTGGTCCAGCCGTGTCAGACTTGCCGAAGCCACTGGACAGACTTTGATAGTGGATACTGGGCTCGGCACTGCGAGTTCGCATTTGGCCAGCACCTCTTCCTCAGACGAGCCTCAGGTTGCGGCAGCCGACACCAGCCAGGACCAGCCTTCCACAGTCCGTTCTTGGGCAGATCAATCTGAGGTCCCAGTCGTGTTGCAGTCCGTTCCTCAGACACAACAGGCTACGGCAGACCAGGCTCAGACCGTGCAAGCCCCAGTGGTTCAGCTCCAGCCAGGCTTAAGCTCAGGCCGCGATGGGAGTACTGCAACCGCTCAGCAAGAAGGGCACAGGCAAGGGCACCCGCTCACCACCCGTTAAGGCGATGCCGCAGGCGGCCCCAGCCCAGCCACAGACCACAGCCATGACTCAGGTGCCGCCCGGACAGCCATCCGCTAAGGCGCCCACAGTCTCCGCCCCCCCTCCACTGGCAGGCACGACGCAGCCACAGCCTCAGTCGGCCACAGTCACGGCACAGCCCCCAGCCCGGGTTGACGATCCACCAGTGCAGCTGCCCCAGGGAGCCTTACAGCCAGGCACAAGGGGAGTTGGCCCTGTGGCAGGGCCACTACGTCAGCCGGCTCTTCAGCCGCCACAGCCTCGGCCAAACCAGCCGTTCGTAGTCAACCCAGTCGCACTACATGCGTTTCCAAACGAACTGGTCGGCTACAATGCCGGCATATACTTTGCCAAATCGGCGGCAGTCGGCCAGCACGGCCTTCTGCCTCAGGTCCCGCCCTACTCCCTAGCCTTCCCCAGCCTCAGCACAGCCCGTGAAAGCCGCTTGCCCAGGGCGCTCAAAACTGGTGGCTTTTGCTTGGCATTGTGTCCACAATGCCAAGCCTGTGCCTGTTCCAGGCCACTCACACTCACCAAGGAAGGGGGTGCATGGCACACCCATCATGACTGTCCTCGTTGTCATGCTCCAGGCGGGGTTCAGTCATGCTGTATTGTGTCACCTTCTGCCTTGCAGGGTCCAGCCGTAGCCACCACCGCAGACGATGACAGCCAAGGTACGCAGGACAGTCACAGGCGGCAGCAGTTTGTTCTGGACATTTTGCAACGACAGGTCTGCACCCTTCTTCTTTGGTGAGTGTGAGTGCAGTCTTTCTCAGCCTTTCTCAGCCTGTGCAGTCCGGTGGCTCAGACCTCAATAGTTTTCTTCCAGCCCTGCATTAGTCGTGCTGAGTACCTGCTTCTATGGCGTTACATTCAACAGTGCACATGTTTGTGAGACAGGGCTGGATGCACCAGCAAAGCGCACTTGTGTGCCACGCTTTGTCAGACTCAGCTGCTGCCTTTTGCAGTCACGACAGACCTTCGCCAGTGACGGCCGCCCAGCAGCCCAAAACAAAGGTCTCGGCACTTGAGTGCAGCTTGCTTGTGCAGCTCGAGCTCTTGTGAGCACGCCCGCCTCGCCCCGCCCGGCTCAAGTCGGATGGGTTGGGCGTTAGTCTTTGGTGACCCGCCTCAGGCGAGGCATACCATGCTAGTCAGCTTGTGCTGCTTGCCGGCTTGTGCCTGGCATACCTTGGCTTCAGGCCACAGCGCACCTTGTGGTTGCAGACTGTCACTGCCCGGCACTTGTGTGCCAGGAGAAGCGACCTTGCGGTCCAGCCTCAGCCAGACAACCAGGCTCGGAAAGTACCCTCGTGCAGTGTCACTTTCTTCTTGGCAGGCGTACAGCAGTCCTTCGACTACCAGGTATGTCCTCCGTGAGTGACAGTCGCGTCACCTTTAAGGCAAAAGCCTTGCAGCATGGCATCCCAGAAGCCTCCTTGGAAGCCTGGGACAAAGCAGGTATAGCCTCCTATAGTCAGCTACTGTTTCGCGTCGCGTCAGCCCCGAACCAGACAGATCCAGTCAAGTTGCAGACTCTGCTAGACAACATGGAGCCCAAGGCCGATGCTGTGGTCACAGCCGCAGTGCACAGACTGCTCTTTGAAGCAGGTACCTTCGTAGTTGCAGAGCTGAGGCAGACGTTGGAGGCACCCTCAGGCGAGCCAAGTCGCAGACTCTCCACGCAGGAGCGAAGCAGTCGCCTTGTGGCCCTGCAAACTAAGCCAGGCGCTTTTCGCATAGCTGGACAGTACGAGCCGAGTTTTCAGTTGGTCGACTTGTGCAGTGCAATGATGGCCGATCAGGCCATACGGCACATCCCACTCAACAAGTGTTCAAGCCGTGAGCAGGAAGTCTCCAACGTCAAACGTGACGAAAACCTGTTCAGACTTGAGAACGCAGCTTTGAGGCTTGCAGTCAAGCCTCAGCCACTGAAGGTAGACTTGACTACCGAACTCAGGGTGGCCCAGGCTCTCAGCAGACGAGGTCTCGCTCTGGAGATGGCAGGAGTCTGCAGCTTTCAAGTTCACGAGGAGTATGCTCGCTCCTTGCTTGAGCACCTGCACAGGCCCCCTCCGCCGAAGTTCGAGCCACCAGGCATCGACGCCCTTTTGAGGGCAGACCGAGAGCTTTGGGTCAGGGTGTCCGAGCAAGTCAAGAGCGACTTCACAGGACCAGGCAAGGCCGGCGCAGTTGACGCAGCCATCTTGCAGTGGCAGCACAGCATGCAAGTAGCCTACTTTCTAGTGCCGGTGCCCAAGCCCGAAAAGCCACAGCCAACACTGCCGCACAAACGTCAGTGGGAGACAGCCTTCACCACTGAAAAGGGCGGAAAAGGCAAAGGCAAAGGTAAGTTCATGCAGCAGGCGTGGCAGGCCGGGAAGGCAGGCAAGGGCAAGGCCGGAAAAGGCAAAGACAAGACTCAGACGTCTGTCCCAGCCGCCCTAAAAGGTTTGGACCCGAACTACAAGGGACAGCCAGTTTGTTTCAACCACAGCCTGCCCCACGGATGCAACGAAGAGACCTGGCAGACAGACCTAGGTCCGACATGCAGGCGGGGACTGCACATCTGCATGAAGTGTCACGGTGAGCACTCGTACTCAGCCTGCGACAAGTGACGACAAGAGGCGGAGCAGCAGGCAGGTTCGGCTCGCCCCGCAAAGTCAGTCAGCCCAGTCTTAGGCAACTGTTCAGTTCAGACAGAACACAGCAGTGCAGGAGGCTTTGACTCGTCGCTCCCTCAGGTTGCTGAAGTCACTGCCGTGCCAGTCAAACCAGACAAGGAAAGCTCGCCACAGGCTGAGCGTCCTCAGCCGGTTCTTGCTCAGGAAGGAGAACCTCAGTCTACACAGCAGTCGGTAGAAACAGTCGCGCCGGCACCCAGTGCCGCGTCGCAGTCTAGCAAGCAGGCCCCGAAAGCAACAGCTGCTGGAGGGACCCTCTTCTTAGAACTGTTTGCAGGCACAGCGCGCATGTCTAAGGCATTCGCCCGTCTGGGCCTGCAAGCCCTTGCAGTCGACACAGTCAAGCCCAGCGGGGTCGCAGGGCTCAGTCTTGACCTGACGCAGCCACAGAGCCAAAGGCTAATTTTTGATCTTCTTCGCTCGAAAAGGGTTTCAGCCGTGCATCTAGCCCCGCCGTGCGGCACCAGTAGTGCCGCGCGTTTGATCTATGCCGGGGAAAACTCCCCTCAGCCGCTGCGCAGCCCATTACACCCCGATGGGTTACCCAGCCTTGGTTTTTTGCAGAGGCAACGAGTCAAGGCAGCGAACAGACTTTACCAGTTCACCGCACTAGTCATCAGGGCCTGCATTGAGG